AAATCACCAACTAAAACTTCATTTTGCTGCTTGGTATTCTTGTTTGATAAAATCAGGTATTATTACACTATCGCAGAGTAGTGTGATAGATCGATGCAAATTTTTCCAGCCTAAGTCGCAAATATAAGTGCTATTATTGATGGCACTTTTGAATTGATAGGCTACATTAGCTTTATAGTTCCAAATGCTTTGACATTTAGTTAGTAATGAAATAACACAGTTGATGCTTCTTTATTTCATCAATTGAGCCGAAAAAGTTTCTTGTTTCATACAACGGTATAATAATTTGGAAAAATTTTTCACTTGGAAAAGTTTTAGGTGTACTCAAAAATTACAATGCTGATTTTCAAAAAAGTGATCCTAGTAGAATGAAGTGATACGACTTTAGCTGCCTGCATTTTCTCTTAGTTTTTTTTTACCTTGCTACACTTTGTACGGATGTGAAAAATTTCAATGGGGGAATGTTTGACCCCTTTATTTGGATCTTTATTTTCTCTCACAAACAACCTTCCCAAAACATTCGAGAGTATGGGTTCAAACAAAAAAAGGGTTATGGGAAGCTCTAAGCGGCTTTAGGATTTTTCAATCAAGATAACTGGTTGTGCGAAACTTCCAGGCTTAAGCGGCTACGCCCTAAATTTTGTAGAAACATGAATTTCCTTCAAAATGTCAAATCTTAAGTCCAAACTTCCAGAAAATTAAATCAACAGTTCAAAATTTTTAATTCAACACTTCAAAATTTTTAAATCAATACTTCTAGTAGTGAAAAACGTGTGTGGCGAAAACCAGTGAAAAAAAAGGCAGAAAAAGTGATGAAACGAAAAAATAGGTGATGAAACGAAAAAATAGGTGATGAAACAAAAAAAAGGCTAAGGAATAGAAAACAAAAGATTTTTGTTCAAAAAGTGGCTGAGGTCTGAAAAATTAGAAAAGCTTAGGACAGGGCCGACTTCGGACATGATGAAGTTTGCCGGGGATTGTGGACTTGCTGGACTTTTAAAGTCCTTAAGGAAGTCTGGGAATCTGGTCTAGTCTCCTCCGACTGGAGCGAAAGTGGAACTGACGTTTTTTAGAAAGGAAAAGGTGATCCGTTAGAAAGTGAATTCTACAAAGCATCCGATTACTAGAACACACATTCAATTTTTTCGAACAAGTACTATTAAACGTCTGACAATCGATAAAAATAGTTGACTTGCATTTTGGCTTTATGGGTGAAAGATCAACTACCGATGCCGTTTTTCTTATAAGACTGTTGAAGGAACTGTTTGCAGATAAGAAAAAACCTCTGCGTCATATATTTGTTGATCTGAAGAAATCCATCGATTGTGTTCTCAGGGAACTGATCTCATGGACTCTAAAGCAACGGAGAGTTCACGAGTTCGCCGGCCCCAAGGATGCAGTGATAACTTGAAATTTCAAGTAGGCGTGTATCAAGGATCGGCACTTAGCCTATTGTTATTTATAATAGTAATGGAAGAGGCTACGAGAAACTGTCGTTCCAGGTACCATGGGATATGCTATATGCGGATGACCTCGTGATATCCGCTGATTAGGAATCCCAGTCTATTGAGAAGTTTAATACTTGGAACAAGGCTTTCTAAAACGCAGTTTACAAATCAACGTGGATCCGACAAAGCTTTTGATTTCAGGTCAAAAGCCTCTTCCTCAAAAAACCGGAAAATATCCATGCGCTGGTTGTTTGAATTTGGTATCGGTAACAATTTATGCGCTTGTTGTCCGCACCAATTCATTACACTGTAATTTTTATAATAAGTTGGTACATAAAATGCAGTAGCCCGAGGAAAATACCTAAACATAACGCTAATCATGTTTTTCCAAGATGCAATAAGATTTCTAATTATCACTCAAATCACAATGCTACTCTACGGATTAATCATTTTGAAACCCTGAGTGCTGTCGACAAGTTCTGCTATCTGGGTGATATGATTTCCGTTGAAAGTGACGCAATACATGCATCATCTGTCAGAATAGTAGCTTTCTGGAGGAAATGACTGCAAATTGCGGCTCTGCTGATGAATAAAGATATTGATTTGATTATAAGGTGTCTTATCTACGGAGTTTGTCCCTGCCTGAAACCTGCCCGCAGACCAAGTCATTGACCAGCTCTCTTAAGAGTGCTGATATGAAAGCTCTGCGTAGGATTACCGGAGTCACTTACAAAGACTGAGTTACCAGCGAAGCAGTAATTAAAATGACATGTCTTGTTGACCTTGTTGATGTCTTGCTACAAGTGCGGTCACGGCTACGATGGTATGGCCATGTTCACCGAAGAGAAAATGATCATGAGCTAAAATCAACAGACCATATTTCAGCCCCACGGAAAAGACCAGCATCAAGGCGTAAAAACGGGTCTCGTTTAAAATCCACTGACTACTTTGATCGAATGGCTTGGAAAAACGTGTTATCTTCCATTTAGTAGCTTGAATGCTCTTCAGAATGCCCTCATCTGAACCATTGCTTACGCGCTTTCCGAATATCCAACAACAAAAAGGGACAATAAACGCATTTGTAGTAGTAGTATTTCACAAAGTCAAATTTGGCATTTTGACCGTTTTTTGGAAACATTTTGACTTCTCAAAAAGCGGCGATGCCTTGGTTTTTGCAACAAAAATGTCATCGTCTTCGGCAAAAATCCATTTAACTGAAATCTAGAGTTTTATCTTGCCAAATCTGAGCTTTAGTTCAATCGAAGAAAGACGGGTTATGGGAATCGTACCTGCATAAAGGATTCTGTGTCTACAGGTTCAATCGAAAGAACAGGTAAACATTATAAACTACACTTGCAGATTCTAATAGCTACATAAAGTTGGGTTCAATTATTAGTCTTAGATGGAAAGCGCTGAAATTTAATCTTTCCTCTTTTCTGGACTCGTTATCATACGACTCATATTGTTCTGAATGAGAAAACAAGATCGTCGATAACTCATCCCATAAAATTGAATTGATGATTTTTTGACCTTAAAATCACACCGCTTTGCCACTGTGACATTGAGATGCCATTTTTGTTGATTCACATTTTTTTCTGGAATTCTTAATTCGAGTCGATTAATAACCAAAACTGCGATAATCACATATTTGTTTCTTTTTGTCTGTAATCAGTCGATTTTTCATCCATGCGTTTTTTACCTTTAACCAAGATGGTGTTTTTGTCAGGGGATAGTTTATTGAAGTTTCTCAGTCGCTTCTTGCTTTGACCTTTTTTGGCGCCACATAGCCTTGTTATAACTTAAAAGATCATTTCCATCCCTGTTTGAAGGAAAACTTTAAATAGTAAATAGATAAAGGAAACACGTTCAAGGTTATCTGTGCCACTGTCTAGGTTGTCTGTCAATAGTCGAATAATTGTGGTTTTCTCGTCTTCATAACTGTTGGCCTGAGGCGATCACGTGACAGTCAAGATAGTGGAATTCATGTATGGCCTCAGTCAGAATGAGCATCATAAGAGTATCATATGAGCAACGGATCTAGATATCGATTGGTCTATTGATTCAGTAAAATTTGGTGATCATTTTACATCATGTGTAGCGCATTGCTGTGCTGAGTAGCTATTTTTAAAAGCCAATGAATGTAGGGAGTTGTGATGATTTTTAAAAACTTTTTCGCCGTTTGACTTATGAATTTTTTTGAAGTGCAGATCATTTTCTCGTTGAAAAGAAGAAAAAAACTCCATTGAACAGCAAAAATGTAAAGGTCACGAAAAACGTGATCGACTTCCAGCTTCGAAAGTCGATTTTATTTTTCAGATTTCCCAGCGAAAAAAAAAATTACCTTTTGATCCAATTTTCTGAAATTGAGTTATTTTTGTCAAAAAAAATTTGACCATAAATTATTCTTGAATTTTAAGGAGCTTTACGACCATACTTTTTTTTATCCTTTGAAACTCAAAAATTGAGTTTTTTTTAAAAAGTTAGTTTTTTTCTTTCTTTGCATTCATTGACTCTTTTACAAATGTCGGTGGGCTATGTTTGAAATTTTAAGGTCGATAACAGTTAGTGACGATAATGTCTTGTCTTTTAAGAGTCGATAAACGTAGTTAAGACCCTTTTGTAGGTCGTAACAATTTTTTTGGCTTTTCATCCAGGAAAGTGTTTTCAGGTTCAAATTTACTTTTTCGAGGTTTTTTTTTTTAATTTCAGTTAATTTATTTGTTAAAAGGACAGCAAACTCCACTACCGAACAGCACAAATTCACGAAAAAATTGATAAACTTTAAGTTTCGAAAGTAGAATCCAATTTTCAGATTTCCAGCGAAGTAAAGAGTTGACCAGTTTATTTATCCAGTTTTCTCAAATTTAGGGTGTTTGTATTGTCTGTTGGCTATGTTTTACATGTAAAAGAACGATGTGATTTTCACTTACACAGGTCTTGATGATTTTTTTGTTGGCTTATTTTTTATGAAAAAGTCTTAAGATGCTCTAATATTTACAGAATTGCATTCGTACACTAATGCACTTAGATCTTTATGCAGTTTTTGGGTTCAATTCAAGTTCATCTGCTAAGAGTTGCTTGGAAATTAGTGATCGATTTCTAGTTTCGAAAGTGGATTTCAGTTTTTTTATTTCCAATGGAAGTTTTTTTGATTTGGTCTGTTTTATGAAATAGTGTCTTGAAACGTTCAATGATATCATTTTGAAATTGAATAGTTCCAAAAAAGAATAAGTTTTTGTTTATCACTGTCCTTGAGTTGATTGACACTTCTACTGGAATCCTATTTTCTCCGATGTCTTGTAGTTGTCTTGTACATGTGATTATGCGTGTTGCTTGTGGTATAACACAACTCGTTGTTCATTAAATTTAGGTTGTTGTGTCACTACACTTTTTGATCTGTCTATTTCTGAAGGGTTTGACTCCTCGAGTTCAATTTTGCATAGTTTCATTTCATGCGAACTCTTATATAATACATAGATCAAAAAACCTAGAATGTACCATAGAATGGTCAACTGAAATTCTCGATAAACCTCACTCATGTCTTTTATTTAGGCTTTCTCGACTGACGAGTACGAGTCGATCATTCTCGAGTCGGGTGAGACGCGAAGACGTGAACAGCTTCTGCTGGTCTTATCGCAGAAAGGAGACGTGCTGTTCTACGAGCTGATCAAGTACTTCCAGTTCAATGAGTCCCAACTGGCTCTGTCTGCTTCTTGGTCGTCTGCCAGTGGAGATGTAGACAGTAGTAGACAAGTGAGTGTAATGAAAATGAGTCTACAGGCATTCGAGTTTTGGAAAACTTTAAACCGAAAGTTCAGTAATTAGAAATTAAGCTTCCTTTGAAGCTTGATGGAGCTTATTTAAGCTGAAAAAAGTAGCAAAGTTTAGAAAAACTGCATGCTTAATTCATTCATGACCCTCGAGTTAAATTGAAAATGTTTTTGTACTGTTTTTCATTAACAAACTTTGAGCCGATGGTATAAACTGATTGAAAGCATGATGATGGCCCTAAATTGGTAGAGTAAAGTCAGGCTTTGAAGCTAAAGATATAACACATTGGTTAGATGTAATCTAAAGTGCCTGTCGGTTAATTGTTTTGTGACCAGGAGGCTGTCGTGGGTCAACAACAACAACAGAACAGTGGACAGCAGTCGGAGATTGTGAGAACCTTGGTCGGGTACATTGAGTGTGCTTACGAAATACAAACACGTAAGTTGATCCTGGAACGATAATTAACTGTTTTTTTTTCGACTGGCGAAGGATTGATGTGATAATGTTGCAATTACCCTGATGTTGGTGTTAGCCGTTTGTTTGTTGTTGGGAATAAGTTCTGGTTTACCCGGTATTTTCACAGTCCGTCCAAAACTTTCTTTTTTTTGGGTCTGTTTACTTATTCCGCCCAAATTTCTTACTTTTGCGATTTTGTAATATTCACTGTATAAATACTGAGAACAATATACCGATAGCACTGGTTGATTTAGTTATAACAAATGTGATCACTTCATTCTTAAGCTGGCTTCTAACAAGACCGAATTTTGAACAGATACGAAAGTGGTAATTTTTTCGCCTGTAGCTGTTCTCTGTGTTTTTTTTCTAATATGGGTACAACTCTGGAGCGTATTTGAAATTATTCTGAGTAGTTTACCAAACAGTCTTCTTTATAGGCTAATTCGGCTTTTTTATAATTCGCCTTAAAATTGTCAACAAATCATTTTAAGATGGCGTTGAAATTTGATTGGCTAATTCTAGCCAATCTAGTTTCAGTTCTAAGTCAGTTCAATTTCTGGTTTCAGTTCATGATTTTGAAATTTTGAATTTTGGGCGCAATAAGTAAAAAGACCCGTGTTTTCTATGCCGGCATGAATTACAATTCTGATTTAACTACGGAGTACATATTTAGGAGTCGGAAGCAGAGTAGTAAGCGCAGAAGTGCTCTAAGAGCAGAAAGAGTCCAAGGGCACAAAAAGAACAGAAAAAATGGACTCTTAGAAACTGATCGGTAAAACAAGAAATAGAATTGTCTATATTACCAAAGAAACGAACAGATAATGCATAAATTGAGAAATTTGATTTCGTTTTTTAAATACAAATTTGATTTTGTTTTTCTGGTCTTGACCCTCTCTGTTCTTAGACTTTTCTGCTCATTGACTGGCCATCATTTAGTAGCTCCGTATTATGGATGTGGTATGTTGTACAAAATACAATTGGATCTCTTTTTATAAGTTTCCCACTTTGGTGACTGACAAGGAGATGGGTCTGATCTAGACAGTGAACTTATTAAGAAGCAAAACAAACAAAATGAAGGCATTTTAGCGGGTAATTGATCGAAATAGGCGGTAAACGAATATTTGTTTCACGCCATGCTTGCCCTCAAGTCGAACGAAAATAAAACTAACAGCTGTAATAAATAGTGATTCTTCTAATTTGATGTCTTGCTTTTGCTTTGATTGCTTTACTGTCTCCCATAATTGCCTATGAAATTCAATGTATGGATCAGATCCGTCTCCTTGTTATTCACTCGCTTTTCCCCAAAGCAAAAAAGCCATTTGTTTCTAGGATTAATGTTCATATGTGCGTAACAATTGAATCCTAGTTCACTGGAATTCTACTAGTCACAATGTATCAGAGGAGAATTGTTTGAAATTAATAACTTTTTGAGTATATTGAAATTCAAGTTGAAAAGCTTTTTTTTAATGAAAACGATCTCACCTCGCTAGAGTTTTGCGATGCTAGAAGTGTTTTGTTTCAGTAAAAAACGTGAGATGGCACGGACTCTCCGCCCCCAATGTACGCTACGTGCGACACATCCCCGAATCCCAAGACCTGTCTCTCTTCACCCCCTCAATCATTTCTATTATCCAACTCACCCCCTCAGTCAAAGAACAGTCAATAGATAATTTGTCCCAATGGAGTGAAAGTATATGTTGGGCTCTTATGAAACAAAATGAACCTCCAGGATTATGTGTAGTATTTCATGAAATACTGACTGCAAATGACGACTACTGCGCAGTAATACACGACTTGTTTTTATTCCTAACTAGAAAATGCAAAGATTTTGTCTCAAGTGTCGATTTGCATCACGTCTCAGCGTCTTCCCCTGTTGCGATTTTGTCACGGATTAAAAGTTTGACCTCTAAATTGAAAATCATAACTTTGCTGGGGTCACTGAAGTGCAATGACCGATTAGTAAAACTTTTACATTCTCTGAAGTACGCAGGACTAACGGTTGTTCTGTACAACTTGGATGTTGACCTGGAAATGACGGAAGATCTGGAAAATGCTGGATTAAAAATACGATCTGTGAAAATTGAAGAAATTACAACTTCTGTGACAGAAGGTAGTCAAACTGATGTTTTGAACAAGAACGAAGTGTTCGGAGCTGTTAATTGTGTCGAACCAAAATGTGGAAGTAACTGTGGTCGAATATTTGACGATTTGCCGGCAAAGGTGCAAGTGTTTCTGAAACAGTGTGCCATTCTGAAAAACCGAATCGTCTATGTGAAAGTCATAAAATGTCTATGGAAGTTTGTCTTCGATTCGAACGTTCAAGACGTGGCAAGTGTGAACAAAATGCATGACACGATTAACATGTTGATCGAACAAGGAGTTTTCAGGCATTTTCTGGGAAGTTATTTCTTCTCTCCATCTATGAAAGCGTTTCTGCTGAAGAAAATCCAGCAAAATGGAAGTGAAGTTAAAGTTCTGAATCAGAATTTGTTACAGGCATATTTGGAGAGATATAAAACGTGGTCTAGTGTACCGGCTGGCGATATTTACTTCCAGCAGTATTATTTGCGACATTTACTGAAAGCAGGTACGTTTTTATCAAGTTTACTCACAGGAAGATTTTGGTTGAATGGTCAAGTTTAAATGCAAATGTTTCTTGGTCTATTTTCTTCTGATTAGGTCATTTTTTCAAAAAAAATTTTGTAATTAATTTTTAAAAGTTTGTGAAAATTTGAAATTCGCAACCCTGTATTTGGGGGATGTCAGGGTAGTCTCAGGGGTTGCAAGTTTTGCCTCCAAATCTTACTTTTCAAATCCATGTAGTTTTCGAGATATGACGTTTTTTTATGATTTTTTCAAAAATTTTCAAAACAACTTAAGATTTTTAAAAAATTCAAAAACTGTGAAGATCTCAATCCTGTAGTTGGAATCTGTGAAGGTACTCTCAGAGTTGCGATTCTTGCTTCTGAATATGACTGCTCAAGTTCTTGTAGTTTTCGAGATATGACGTTTTTTTGTGATGTTTTTTTTTTCAACAAAATTACATTTAATTTTATTTCTTCTAAATTTCATCTTCCCAACCGTTTTAGTTTGGGGTTGTCAGTGAACTCTCAAGGTCTCAGATGTTGCGAATCTTGCCTCCAACTGTGACTGCTCAAGTCTTTGTAGTTTTCCAGATATGACGTTTTTTTGTTATTTTTCAAAAAATTTTCAGAAAATTTATTTTTTTTTCTTCAAATTTTGATGTTTTTAAACCCTGTAGGAATTGCGAGGGATTTTGCTTCCAATTGTGGCTGCTCAAATCTTTTGGTTTTTTTCGAGATTTGACGTTTTTTTTTTTCTGGTTTTTTCAAAAAAGTTTTTTTCAGAAAACTTATTTTCAAGTTTCTCAAGATTTGAAATCCCCAACGCTGTAGTTGAATACTGCAAGAGCTCTCTCAGGAGTTGCAAATTTTGCGTCCAAATGCGACTGCCCAATTAGTTTTAGATTCCGAGATGTGATGTTTCTTAATTTTTCAAAGATTTTAAAGTTTTTCAAAGAACTTAGATTTAAAAAACTTGAATAGAAATTTTTTTCAAAATTTGAAATAACTAACCCTGTAACTCGGTGTTGTCAGAGTATGCTCAAAGGATGCTGATTTTTCTGATTTACATGTTGATCGAACAAGGAGTTTTCAGGCATTTTCTGCGAAGTTATTTCTTCTCTCCATCTATGAAAGCGTTTCTGCTGAAGAAAATCCAGCAAAATGGAAGTGAAGTTAAAGTTCTGAATCAGAATTTGTTACAGGCATATTTGGAGAGATATAAAACGTGGTCTAGTGTACCGGCTGGCGATATTTACTTCCAGCAGTATTATTTGCGACATTTACTGAAAGCAGGTACGTTTTTATCAAGTTTACTCACAGGAAGATTTTGGTTGAACGGTCAAGTTTAAATGCAAATGTTTCTTGGTCTATTTTCTTCTGATTAGGTCATTTTTTCAAAAAAATTTTTGTAATTAATTTTTAAAAGTTTGTGAAAATTTGAAATTCGCAACCCTGTATTTGGGGGATGTCAGGGTAGTCTCAGGGGTTGCAAGTTTTGCCTCCAAATCTTACTTTTCAAATCCATGTAGTTTTCGAGATATGACGTTTTTTTATGATTTTTTCAAAAATTTTCAAAACAACTTAGGATTTTTAAAAAATTCAAAAACTGTGAAGATCTCAATCCTGTAGTTGGAATCTGTGAAGGTACTCTCAGAGTTGCGATTCTTGCTTCTGAATATGACTGCTCAAGTTCTTGTAGTTTTCGAGATATGACGTTTTTTTGTGATGTTTTTTTTTTCAACAAAATTACATTTAATTTTATTTCTTCTAAATTTCATCTTCCCAACCGTTTTAGTTTGGGGTTGTCAGTGAACTCTCAAGGTCTCAGATGTTGCGAATCTTGCCTCCAACTGTGACTGCTCAAGTCTTTGTAGTTTTCCAGATATGACGTTTTTTTGTTATTTTTCAAAAAATTTTCAGAAAATTTATTTTTTTTTTCTTCAAATTTTGAAGTTTTTAAACCCTGTAGGAATTGCGAGGGATTTTGCTTCCAATTGTGGCTGCTCAAATCTTTTGGTTTTTTTCGAGATTTGACGTTTTTTTTCTGGTTTTTTCAAAAAAGTTTTTTTCAGAAAACTTATTTTCCAGTTTCTCAAGATTTGAAATCCCCAACGCTGTAGTTGAATACTGCAAGAGCTCTCTCACGAGTTGCAAATTTTGCGTCCAAATGCGACTGCCCAAATAGTTTTAGATTCCGAGATGTGATGTTTCTTAATTTTTCAAAGATTTTAAAGTTTTTCAAAGAACTTAGATTTAAAAAACTTGAATAGAAATTTTTTTCAAAATTTGAAATAACTAACCCTGTAACTCGGTGTTGTCAGAGTACGCTCAAAGGATGCTGATTTTTCTGATTTACATGTTGATCGAACGAGGAGTTTTCAGGCATTTTCTGCGAAGTTATTTCTTCTCTCCATCTATGAAAGCGTTTCTGCTGAAGAAAATCCAGCAAAATGGAAGTGAAGTTAAAGTTCTGAATCAGAATTTGTTACAGGCATATTTGGAGAGATATAAAACGTGGTCTAGTGTACCGGCTGGCGATATTTACTTCCAGCAGTTTTATTTGCGACATTTACTGAAAGCAGGTACGTTTTTATCAAGTTTACTCACAGGAAGATTTTGGTTGAACGGTCAAGTTTAAATGCAAATGTTTCTTGGTCTATTTTCTTCTGATTAGGTCATTTTTTCAAAAAAAATTTTGTAATTAATTTTTAAAAGTTTGTGAAAATTTGAAATTCGCAACCCTGTATTTGGGGGATGTCAGGGTAGTCTCAGGGGTTGCAAGTTTTGCCTCCAAATCTTACTTTTCAAATCCATGTAGTTTTCGAGATATGACGTTTTTTTATGATTTTTTCAAAAATTTTCAAAACAACTAAGATTTTTAAAAAATTCAAAAACTGTGAAGATCTCAATCCTGTAGTTGGAATCTGTGAAGGTACTCTCAGAGTTGCGAATCTTGCCTCCAACTGTGACTGCTCAAGTCTTTGTAGTTTTCCAGATATGACGTTTTTTTGTTATTTTTCAAAAAATTTTCAGAAAATTTATTTTTTTTTCTTCAAATTTTGAAGTTTTTAAACCCTGTAGGAATTGCGAGGGATTTTGCTTCCAATTGTGGCTGCTCAAATCTTTTGGTTTTTTTCGAGATTTGACGTTTTTTTTTCTGGTTTTTTCAAAAAAGTTTTTTTCAGAAAACTTATTTTCAAGTTTCTCAAGATTTGAAATCCCCAACGCTGTAGTTGAATACTGCAAGAGCTCTCTCACGAGTTGCAAATTTTGCGTCCAAATGCGACTGCCCAAATAGTTTTAGATTCCGAGATGTGATGTTTCTTAATTTTTCAAAGATTTTAAAGTTTTTCAAAGAACTTAGATTTAAAAAACTTGAATAGAAATTTTTTTCAAAATTTGAAATAACTAACCCTGTAACTCGGTGTTGTCAGAGTACGCTCAAAGGATGCTGATTTTTCTGATTTACATGTTGATCGAACGAGGAGTTTTCAGGCATTTTCTGCGAAGTTATTTCTTCTCTCCATCTATGAAAGCGTTTCTGCTGAAGAAAATCCAGCAAAATGGAAGTGAAGTTAAAGTTCTGAATCAGAATTTGTTACAGGCATATTTGGAGAGATATAAAACGTGGTCTAGTGTACCGGCTGGCGATATTTACTTCCAGCAGTTTTATTTGCGACATTTACTGAAAGCAGGTACGTTTTTATCAAGTTTACTCACAGGAAGATTTTGGTTGAACGGTCAAGTTTAAATGCAAATGTTTCTTGGTCTATTTTCTTCTGATTAGGTCATTTTTTCAAAAAAATTTTTGTAATTAATTTTTAAAAGTTTGTGAAAATTTGAAATTCGCAACCCTGTATTTGGGGGATGTCAGGGTAGTCTCAGGGGTTGCAAGTTTTGCCTCCAAATCTTACTTTTCAAATCCATGTAGTTTTCGAGATATGACGTTTTTTTATGATTTTTTCAAAAATTTTCAAAACAACTAAGATTTTTAAAAAATTCAAAAACTGTGAAGATCTCAATCCTGTAGTTGGAATCTGTGAAGGTACTCTCAGAGTTGCGAATCTTGCCTCCAACTGTGACTGCTCAAGTCTTTGTAGTTTTCCAGATATGACGTTTTTTTGTTATTTTTCAAAAAATTTTCAGAAAATTTATTTTTTTTTTCTTCAAATTTTGAAGTTTTTAAACCCTGTAGGAATTGCGAGGGATTTTGCTTCCAATTGTGGCTGCTCAAATCTTTTGGTTTTTTCGAGATTTGACGTTTTTTTTTCTGGTTTTTTCAAAAAAGTTTTTTTCAGAAAACTTATTTTCAAGTTTCTCAAGATTTGAAATCCCCAACGCTGTAGTTGAATACTGCAAGAGCTCTCTCACGAGTTGCAAATTTTGCGTCCAAATGCGACTGCCCAAATAGTTTTAGATTCCGAGATGTGATGTTTCTTAATTTTTCAAAGATTTTAAAGTTTTTCAAAGAACTTAGATTTAAAAAACTTGAATAGAAATTTTTTTCAAAATTTGAAATAACTAACCCTGTAACTCGGTGTTGTCAGAGTACGCTCAAAGGATGCTGATTTTTCTGATTTACATGTTGATCGAACGAGGAGTTTTCAGGCATTTTCTGCGAAGTTATTTCTTCTCTCCATCTATGAAAGCGTTTCTGCTGAAGAAAATCCAGCAAAATGGAAGTGAAGTTAAAGTTCTGAATCAGAATTTGTTACAGGCATATTTGGAGAGATATAAAACGTGGTCTAGTGTACCGGCTGGCGATATTTACTTCCAGCAGTTTTATTTGCGACATTTACTGAAAGCAGGTACGTTTTTATCAAGTTTACTCACAGGAAGATTTTGGTTGAACGGTCAAGTTTAAATGCAAATGTTTCTTGGTCTATTTTCTTCTGATTAGGTCATTTTTTCAAAAAAATTTTTGTAATTAATTTTTAAAAGTTTGTGAAAATTTGAAATTCGCAACCCTGTATTTGGGGGATGTCAGGGTAGTCTCAGGGGTTGCAAGTTTTGCCTCCAAATCTTACTTTTCAAATCCATGTAGTTTTCGAGATATGACGTTTTTTTATGATTTTTTCAAAAATTTTCAAAACAACTTAAGATTTTTAAAAAATTCAAAAACTGTGAAGATCTCAATCCTGTAGTTGGAATCTGTGAAGGTACTCTCAGAGTTGCGAATCTTGCCTCCAACTGTGACTGCTCAAGTCTTTGTAGTTTTCCAGATATGACGTTTTTTTGTTATTTTTCAAAAAATTTTCAGAAAATTTATTTTTTTTTCTTCAAATTTTGAAGTTTTTAAACCCTGTAGGAATTGCGAGGGATTTTGCTTCCAATTGTGGCTGCTCAAATCTTTTGGTTTTTTCGAGATTTGACGTTTTTTTTTTCTGGTTTTTTCAAAAAAGTTTTTTTCAGAAAACTTATTTTCAAGTTTCTCAAGATTTGAAATCCCCAACGCTGTAGTTGAATACTGCAAGAGCTCTCTCACGAGTTGCAAATTTTGCGTCCAAATGCGACTGCCCAAATAGTTTTAGATTCCGAGATGTGATGTTTCTTAATTTTTCAAAGATTTTAAAGTTTTTCAAAGAACTTAGATTTAAAAAACTTGAATAGAAATTTTTTTCAAAATTTGAAATAACTAACCCTGTAACTCGGTGTTGTCAGAGTACGCTCAAAGGATGCTGATTTTTCTGATTTACATGTTGATCGAACGAGGAGTTTTCAGGCATTTTCTGCGAAGTTATTTCTTCTCTCCATCTATGAAAGCGTTTCTGCTGAAGAAAATCCAGCAAAATGGAAGTGAAGTTAAAGTTCTGAATCAGAATTTGTTACAGGCATATTTGGAGAGATATAAAACGTGGTCTAGTGTACCGGCTGGCGATATTTACTTCCAGCAGTTTTATTTGCGACATTTACTGAAAGCAGGTACGTTTTTATCAAGTTTACTCACAGGAAGATTTTGGTTGAACGGTCAAGTTTAAATGCAAATGTTTCTTGGTCTATTTTCTTCTGATTAGGTCATTTTTTCAAAAAAATTTTTGTAATTAATTTTTAAAAGTTTGTGAAAATTTGAAATTCGCAACCCTGTATTTGGGGGATGTCAGGGTAGTCTCAGGGGTTGCAAGTTTTGCCTCCAAATCTTACTTTTCAAATCCATGTAGTTTTCGAGATATGACGTTTTTTTATGATTTTTTCAAAAATTTTCAAAACAACTTAAGATTTTTAAAAAATTCAAAAACTGTGAAGATCTCAATCCTGTAGTTGGAATCTTTGAAGGTACTCTCAGAGTTGCGATTCTTGCTTCTGAATATGACTGCTCAAGTTCTTGTAGTTTTCGAGATATGACGTTTTTTTGTGATGTTTTTTTTTCAACAAAATTACATTTAATTTTATTTCTTCTAAATTTCATCTTCCCAACCGTTTTAGTTTGGGGTTGTCAGTGAACTCTCAAGGTCTCAGATGTTGCGAATCTTGCCTCCAACTGTGACTGCTCAAGTCTTTGTAGTTTTCCAGATATGACGTTTTTTTGTTATTTTTCAAAAAATTTTCAGAAAATTTATTTTTTTTCTTCAAATTTTGATGTTTTTAAACCCTGTAGGAATTGCGAGGGATTTTGCTTCCAATTGTGGCTGCTCAAATCTTTTGGTTTTTTTCGAGATTTGACGTTTTTTTTTCTGGTTTTTTCAAAAAAGTTTTTTTCAGAAAACTTATTTTCAAGTTTCTCAAGATTTGAAATCCCCAACGCTGTAGTTGAATACTGCAAGAGCTCTCTCAGGAGTTGCAAATTTTGCGTCCAAATGCGACTGCCCAATTAGTTTTAGATTCCGAGATGTGATGTTTCTTAATTTTTCAAAGATTTTAAAGTTTTTCAAAGAACTTAGATTTAAAAAACTTGAATAGAAATTTTTTTCAAAATTTGAAATAACTAACCCTGTAACTCGGTGTTGTCAGAGTATGCTCAAAGGATGCTGATTTTTCTGATTTACATGTTGATCGAACAAGGAGTTTTCAGGCATTTTCTGCGAAGTTATTTCTTCTCTCCATCTATGAAAGCGTTTCTGCTGAAGAAAATCCAGCAAAATGGAAGTGAAGTTAAAGTTCTGAATCAGAATTTGTTACAGGCATATTTGGAGAGATATAAAACGTGGTCTAGTGTACCGGCTGGCGATATTTACTTCCAGCAGTATTATTTGCGACATTTACTGAAAGCAGGTACGTTTTTATCAAGTTTACTCACAGGAAGATTTTGGTTGAACGGTCAAGTTTAAATGCAAATGTTTCTTGGTCTATTTTCTTCTGATTAGGTCATTTTTTCAAAAAAAATTTTGTAATTAATTTTTAAAAGTTTGTGAAAATTTGAAATTCGCAACCCTGTATTTGGGGGATGTCAGGGTAGTCTCAGGGGTTGCAAGTTTTGCCTCCAAATCTTACTTTTCAAATCCATGTAGTTTTCGAGATATGACGTTTTTTTATGATTTTTTCAAAAATTTTCAAAACAACTTAAGATTTTTAAAAAATTCAAAAACTGTGAAGATCTCAATCCTGTAGTTGGAATCTGTGAAGGTACTCTCAGAGTTGCGATTCTTGCTTCTGAATATGACTGCTCAAGTTCTTGTAGTTTTCGAGATATGACGTTTTTTTGTGATGTTTTTTTTTTCAACAAAATTACATTTAATTTTATTTCTTCTAAATTTCATCTTCCCAACCGTTTTAGTTTGGGGTTGTCAGTGAACTCTCAAGGTCTCAGATGTTGCGAATCTTGCCTCCAACTGTGACTGCTCAAGTCTTTGTAGTTTTCCAGATATGACGTTTTTTTGTTATTTTTCAAAAAATTTTCAGAAAATTTATTTTTTTTTTCTTCAAATTTTGAAGTTTTTAAACCCTGTAGGAATTGCGAGGGATTTTGCTTCCAATTGTGGCTGCTCAAATCTTTTGGTTTTTTTCGAGATTTGACGTTTTTTTTTCTGGTTTTTTCAAAAAAGTTTTTTTCAGAAAACTTATTTTCAAGTTTCTCAAGATTTGAAATCCCCAACGCTGTAGTTGAATACTGCAAGAGCTCTCTCACGAGTTGCAAATTTTGCGTCCAAATGCGACTGCCCAAATAGTTTTAGATTCCGAGATGTGATGTTTCTTAATTTTTCAAAGATTTTAAAGTTTTTCAAAGAACTTAGATTTAAAAAACTTGAATAGAAATTTTTTTCAAAATTTGAAATAACTAACCCTGTAACTCGGTGTTGTCAGAGTACGCTCAAAGGATGCTGATTTTTCTGATTTACATGTTGATCGAACGAGGAGTTTTCAGGCATTTTCTGCGAAGTTATTTCTTCTCTCCATCTATGAAAGCGTTTCTGCTGAAGAAAATCCAGCAAAATGGAAGTGAAGTTAAAGTTCTGAATCAGAATTTGTTACAGGCATATTTGGAGAGATATAAAACGTGGTCTAGTGTACCGGCTGGCGATATTTACTTCCAGCAGTTTTATTTGCGACATTTACTGAAAGCAGGTACGTTTTTATCAAGTTTACTCACAGGAAGATTTTGGTTGAACGGTCAAGTTTAAATGCAAATGTTTCTTGGTCTAATTTCTTCTGATTAGGTCATTTTTTCAAAAAAATTTTTGTAATTAATTTTTAAAAGTTTGTGAAAATTTGAAATTCGCAACCCTGTATTTGGGGGATGTCAGGGTAGTCTCAGGGGTTGCAAGTTTTGCCTCCAAATCTTACTTTTCAAATCCATGTAGTTTTCGAGATATGACGTTTTTTTATGATTTTTTCAAAAATTTTCAAAACAACTTAAGATTTTTAAAAAATTCAAAAACTGTGAAGATCTCAATCCTGTAGTTGGAATCTGTGAAGGTACTCTCAGAGTTGCGATTCTTGCTTCTGAATGTGACTGCTCAAGTTCTTGTAGTTTTCGAGATATGACGTTTTTTTGTGATGTTTTTTTTTTCAACAAAATTACATTTAATTTTATTTCTTCTAAATTTCATCTTCCCAACCGTTTTAGTTTGGGGTTGTCAGTGAACTCTCAAGGTCTCAGATGTTGCGAATCTTGCCTCCAACTGTGACTGCTCAAGTCTTTGTAGTTTTCCAGATATGACGTTTTTTTGTTATTTTTCAAACAATTTTCAGAAAATTTATTTTTTTTTCTTCAAATTTTGAAGTTTTTAAACCCTGTAGGAATTGCGAGGGATTTTGCTTCCAATTGTGGCTGCTCAAATCTTTTGGTTTTTTTTGAGATTTGACGTTTTTTTTCTGGTTTTTTCAAAAAAGTTTTTTTCAGAAAACTTATTTTCAAGTTTCTCAAGATTTGAAATCCCCAACGCTGTAGTTGAATTTTGCAAGAGCTCTCTCAGGAGTTGCAAATTTTGCGTCCAAATGCGACTGCCCAATTAGTTTTAGATTCCGAGATGTGATGTTTCTTAATTTTTCAAAGATTTTAAAGTTTTTCAAAGAACTTAGATTTAAAAAACTTGAATAGAAATTTTTTTCAAAATTTGAAATAACTAACCCTGTAACTCGGTGTTGTCAGAGTACGCTCAAAGGATGCTGATTTTTCTCCAATATTTACAGTTATTAAAAATTCGAAGCACCGGAGGTGCGTTACACGCTAGTTAATTTTTAAGATTTCCCAGCGGAATTTAAACTTTACCTATTAATCCATTTTTCTGAAAGTGGGTTCATATTATCAAAAATGCCTGAATCATAAATTTCATTCTGTTCATAAATATCATAAATTTCCGTTCATTACTCTTTTCCAATCTTCGATTGGCTATGTTGAACGTTTCTTAGAATTTTGAATTTGTTGTTTTTCCTCGAGTATGCAACTTTGCCCCTGTTTTAATGCACCAAACATGCAAACTAATAAGCTTATTACTTCGACCGGTAGAACTGACAGGGTAAAACAGTGGCGTAGTGTCAAAATTTCGCTGCCCGATTTTTGGTCTCAATATTTCTGGTTTGCAGTCAAATTTAGAACATGCTGGCTAAATTGCCCAGTCCTCGCTCGGCAATTATCCCAATAAAAAGATAATTTTTTAAAAATGTTACGTAACCTGTGCTTAAGCAGTTCAAGATATTTTAAGTACCGTGAATTTCCTATGTCATCTCTCCCTCATGAAATTTTCCTTTTTGTGCAAAAAAAATTCTATGCTACTTGCACAACAACTGGCCATCCTGTTTTGTTTTTACTGTAGATTTCGTTAATTTTTTAAGGCGGGACTGCTGAAGCTCTGAACCTGTTCGCTAACTTAGAATGGATCCTCCAAAAGTGCTCTTCTACTCATTCCAAGTGTTTCGTCTCAGATCTCAATCGGCTCATTAAAGCAACTAAACTAGAAGAACGGGAACCCCTGGAGCAGCTCCTCAAGATCGTCCAGAAATCAATCTCGAATCAGTCTTCCGTATCCAATCATCAACAAATGCTACTTGCCTATATCGTGTCATCTTTTTCCAACAAAATCAATAAACGGGGGTCAATATTTTCCAGATTTTTCGAGTCATTGCCGGTAGTTTTGAACAATGATAACTTTTGGGTTCTGCCGCTGAATAGTTCAATAGTAGACAGCGTGCTTTTAACGACATCTGAAATCGAGTATCTGCCTTTGAATTCCAAAGTCTTGTTGTGCGATTCGAGTTCACTTATTATTTCTGCAGACGTAAGCTCGTTGATAGTTGTTAATCGTCAATCTCTAGAGTTAGAATCGCGATTGGAATTTATGACAGATTCTTTGAATATAGCGTTCATTTCGCATTTCAAAGACAAGGAGTTTAATGTTGTCACAAAAGACTGCGTGCAATACCGAGTAAATTTTGCGACGTCTCAAATTTCTGAGGTCGCACTTATTCATGAAAACGGACCCATTGTCAAATTTCACCAGATATTTGATAAATTTGTGATTGTATCAGTGCATGAAGATTTTGTATTGAATGTTTGGTGCTCGATAACTTTTCAACTTTTCGCGTCTGTAAGTCTGAAATCAGGTCAAATTTTGGATTCGACGTTGAGTCCAAGCATAGTCAAACTGTCGTATGCGATAACGGAGTCGGATACTGTAGTTTTTAGTACGATTCTCAATTGGGATTCGGAGCCCCAATGTATAGTGTATGAGTACGACTGTGACAGTATGGAACTGGAAAAGAGAGCGGCCACAATTGCCATGAACTGTCCCATGGACTTTGCCGCGCTCAGCACAAGTTGTGACTTGATTGTCTGTTTCACAGGAGGCGACATTGTGGATCTTTACAGCATTGGGTGAGTCTGAGTTGACTTAAAAAGCGTTTTTGAGTTGCAATCGCTTTATAGAAGAAAAAGCGAGAGAAATGGCTCTTTTTACACAATCAAGCTTGTGTTATAGTACGAACTATCTGTTTTTCCAACCTAAGTCGCAAATATTGTTGCGGTAGGATGTGTTCATTTTTAAAGGGTTCATTTTGACCAATAACCAGCTATTAAATACAGCCAATGCTAAGGATATGTTAACATCGACTATTATTGTTCCGAGTTTCGTAACGAAAGTAACGGAATAATTGTGCTCGGGGTGATTTTTTCTTCAGACAAATTTCGACTTCTTAACTAGCCATTTTTGACGGAATTTGTTTAAATCATTCAAAAGGTATTGTTGTCTTGATCTTAAATCTGAAAAGATATTTTACCTGTGATCATTTTTCGTAAAGTTATGGGGGTTTAAAGATTGCCATTTTAGTTTGAAGATTTTCATAAAAAATCTCAAATTAAAAAAAATCATTATTCATTACATTTATTTTTTTCATGTTATTACTGCTCCAATGACCATAAGAGGCAGTCGCAACAATCAGGGTTTCGCCCTGATAGGAGCAGTATTTTTTGTTTTTTTTCCGACTTTCGTAACGAAAGTAACGGAATATTTGTGCTCGGGTTGGTTTTTTTCTTCAGACAAATTTCGACTTTTCAACTAAACATTTTCGACGGATTTTTTAAATATCTTTCAAAAAACATTGATGTTTTGAGCTTCAATTTGAAGATATATTTTTTGTGCTCATTTTTTGTAAAGTTATGGATGTTTAAGGAGTGCCATTTTGGCCAATTTAGGACAAACAATGCGCGATATATTTCTTTAAATTCGTTTTAATATATTAAATTTTTACAAATTCATTATATTTTAATTAACATTTAGTTTTTTCATGTTATTACTGCTCCATAGACTTTAAAAGGCAGTCAGAACATTCAGGGCGTAGGCAGTCAGAACATTCAGGGCTTCGCCCTGATACGAGCAGTTGTGTATTACAAATAGCACTTTATCTTCAAGGTATCATGGATCTATAGCGTAGAAGTAGGGAGGAGACCAGCAATAAAACAAGTGTGGAACCTGGGCAGGGTGCGGTGTTTTCATGAAATTTTTCGTACACTAGCTAAAATGCGTCCGCTTTAAAAATTGAGGCTCGTGCAATTGGTTAATTTTTTCTTTTTCATATTGACTGCTAATGCGTCGTAGCGTTATCGGTCATATTTTTGCTTGTGTATGCGAAGTGCAACTTCGACTCTGTGTCAACTCCGCCTTTCAACCTTCAAACTTTTGATCTTTATAGCTCCCTTACGGGTAATTATGTCTATGCGCAATATTTTGATGTAAAGCTAGAAGAAAAAATCTGTTCACAATTGTTAGTTCGTTCATGGTGCCAATTTCGATTGCATAATGACATTGTTAATGTATTTCTTCAAAAGTGAATTTCAAAGGGGGTAGTTGAAAAGGGTCCAAACTATGTTTACCTAATTTATATTGTCAAAAGCATAATTAATTGTGTTTATTCGAAATTCAGAATGGAGAGGTAGCGAACAATTTGGGTTACGGAATGCTGCACTATCGTTGAAGGTGCAAGAAATCTATCTATTACTTAATTGGCGTTTCACGTCAGATATGTTTTAAGAAGTCACTATCTTGACATGTTTAAGTTTTTGCTTCGTATTTTTTATGCATTTTCAACGGAAAAGTTTTGCATATTTACGCCAAACCGTATATTGCAATTTTTTGGTTTTCCACTTTATGAACGCAAGGTCAATTGAATGTTTCACTTGTTTTTCAAAAAACTTAGATTTCAAAAATACTGACAGAACTTGAAATTCTAAGCCCCATAGTGGGGTGCTGTATGAGTACACTATGAGGTTGTAAACTACCCTTCAAATATGACTGCTCAAATCTTTCTGTTTTTTCGAATTACGGCGTTTTTTAATGCTTTTTCAAAAAATTAAGAAAGAGAATAAACTACTTTAACTTGAAGTTCTGAACCCTATGGTGGGGTACTGTCAAAGATCACTCAGATATTGCAAATCTGTCCTCTAAAGCTCACTGCTCAAATCTGACGCCTTTTATTGTTTTAAATTTATTTCTCAAAAAAGAAACTTGAAACTCAACCCTATGGTGAAGTGCTGTAAGGGTACACTCAGAGGTAGTGTAAGTGTAAAAATCTGACCTTAATGATCTTCTGAGAGCAGGTGTAAAATGTGGAGTACACATGTATCACATTGCTTTATAGAAGATTTCAATGGTGATCTCAGTGCAGTCAGCACTTGGCTTAATGTTAATAAGTTTTCCTTGACCCTAGCTAAAACTGATCAAGTTAAAATAAGTGCCTCCCGTTTCACTCCAGAAAAAACTTGTGCACGAAAAGACTTAAGAGTTCCTTGTTCGTGCAAATTTTTAGGCGTTCACAGACTCCAAATTGGTGTTTTTGACTCATATAGACTCTGTTAGAACCAAATTGCAAAAGCAATGCAGTACAGTTCCAAAGGTGTGAAAATATACCCTTAATTATATAATTTTGAGTTATATTATCTCAAACGTTAACCTCAATACAAAACGTTAAACTCAATCAAACTGATTTTCAAAATTGAGTGTTTTGACCGTTCATGAACTATATGTTTTCGAGCTGCCTAAGTTTGTTTTACGATCAATTATGGGCCTTCACAGCGAAATTTTCTCTCTCTTATCCTTCTTTTAAAGGAAGATTCCTCGTACAATACTAGAAAAGCCATCAAAAGCATAATTCTTTTCAGGACTAAATTAAAACAAGCGTTTTTGATCTATCGTGGTGCAAAACTTTTTGGGATGATGTATTAATTTTTATCGAACTTAATTGATGTTAATTTATGCCAGAGAAATAAGTTCTTCTTTTAAAACTTATGAAAAGTCCAGTGGTATGTTGTCAGCTTTTTAAGGGCCGTTTTTAAAGCTAAAAGTTTACATATTCGATAAAATTCAGTAGTTTTGGAGGTATGTCAATTTTTTAAATTTACGGTTGCTTTAACTATCGCTGTTTTGTATAAAGTTTAGGAAGCTGATTTTACGTTCAAAGATCTCTCGCTAGTATTAATTAAACATCAAAAAATGAAAGTGTAAGTTTGAACTTAATCTAGTCAGTTTAACAATCATGAGCAAGGTTTTGATATAGCTGGGAAAGCGTAAGACAATATCTGAACTATCAATAGGTTCTTGTTCGATGTTCTTATTCTAAATTTAACGCCTATAAGTCGATATTCGAGGCTATAATGTTGCTGACTACTCGCAGTTCTAATGATGCTAACGGGGCTCTAGAAGTGGCACGATTACTAGCGAAATTAGCCACTAAATGAACAACTTCATGCTTTTTAAGAGTCAATGAACGTAGTGAACACTCTTAAATAAGTGTTCTTCGCAGGAAACATCTTTAAGTTTGTTCGTGCTCAAGTTTGATTTTTTTCCTTAGATTTTTGATTTCTTTTTAATTTATTTCGTTTCTTTTGTTAAAAATAAGGCAAACTACAGTGTCAAAAACCAAAAGTGTAAACGTGACGAAAAACGTGATCGAATTCTACTATCGAAACTGGATTTTCATTTTTCCTGCGCAATGAAAAATTTACTCACGATTGCCGTGAAAATATTCAACTCTGAAAAATGCAGTTTTTATTTTTAAGAGTAGAGGAACGTAGTTCAGTCTGATATATGGATCGCGATGATTTTTTAAAATGCAGATGAACGTAGTTCAGACTGTTATATGGATCGCGATTGTTTTTTTTTTCAGGAAAAGTCTGAAAATGTGTTCAGGCTAAAAATTGTTATTTAGCGTTTTGACGTTTGATTTATTGCTGTTAAAAGGAGGACAAATCTACTATCAAAAGTGTAAAAGTCACGAAAAACGTGATCGACTTCTAGTTTCGAAAGTGGATACTTTTATCAAAAAAGTTTCAATCATAAATTGATCTAGAAATTCAATGAGCTTTAATGGCATCTGTTTTTTTTTAAATTCGAAAATTAAGATTTTTTCAAATTTGTTTCTGAATTAAGATTAATTTTTTTCTGTTCGATTGCGTTCATTGACTCTTTTTCAACTATATGATGGCTATGTTTTTAAAATTGATTCGCCGAGTGTTCTGTTGTTTTTTCAGTAAGGGGCTATTGATCTACAAAATTGCGAAACATGGAGGGTATAATAGCTAAATCACAGAGTCGAAGCTGAGCTTCGCATCACTTGCAATACAAAAATATATGATTAAGATTACCAAAAAAGTTCAAAAAAGGATGAAAAATTTCTGAAACAAAATCACTTGCACCATTAGAAACTTTACAAAGAGCTTTCAAATCCTAAAAATGAATCGAACCGTTCTGCGGGACCCAAACCGACAAAAATTAGCAGACACGAAAGTCTACAATTTTAGTCTAGAAAATCTAGAAAGCCTTGAAAAAATTCAGTTTCGATAAAAAAAACAGGTCCCGACTAAAATCGAACTTCTGAGATTGTTATCAAGCATGGTTGTTATCAATGCCTTAAATGCACTGAACACTCCTTGACCTTATAAAGTACACAATTTCCAGAAGTTTTTTTTTGAATAGCATGAAAAAAATCACGAAGTAGCCAGAATGGTCAGAATTTCTTGGAACTCAATTACTTGCAAAAAACCGGAGTACACAAATTTTTTAATTGGAGTAAAATATGCCCAAATGTTTGGCAAATTTGTCGCTGCGGTAGCTAAAACGACAAAAACAAGCAGACAAACAGAAGTATGACAAAGATTTTGTGACTCGTGGACTAGTTTCCGCTTACAAAAAAAAAGGTAATGGCCGGATTCGAACCAGTGATCTTAGTATTTAAAGGCAGGTGCGTTACCTTTTTGACACATGCGCGAATTAATGTTTTGCTTTTGGTTTGATTTGCTTTTGGTTTGATTTGAACCAAAGGTAAAATTATTCAGGCGAATCTGTTAATCTAGTTGTTAAGTCGAAAATCGGAAAAACACTCTAATTCACAGTTTCTTTTAGTCACTTTCAAGGATTTGATCCGAATAATTTAAAATTGTTTACTATAATAGCAAATAGTTTTCGAATAGTTTTTTCAAATGTTCTCACATAAAAAATATTTGTTTATCAAAAGTATTTTGCCAAAAAAATCCTTAAGTCTGCGCCTGGACCTTTCTTGGAACGAAACTTTGAAAAAAGATAATAAGTCTGCTTCAATCTAAAGACTTAGTTTTACCAATTATATTGGTAGTACCTAAGCTCTTTTGAAGAACCCTCCTCAGCGTAATCTGTGGCTCGCTCAGAAGTTGTGAGATTATACCTGCTATGTCTTAAAATTAATTAAGATCAAACTCGTTTTTTCCAGAAGCATTAATTTAGCAATCTTCTTTCTTTCGAAATTATGATAAACAATTTGGCTGTTTTAGGTCGGAGACTTATATGAAGACAACTTGGGCAGCGTCCATTTCGAAGCCTCAGTTCTTCCACAGAACCAAACGTGGCATCTACTTATTTGCAGACGAACATGGCCAGTTGGAGGTTTGCTCGCTAGAGGGCGAAGCACAAATAACCACCATGTGGTCACATAATCTACCGCTCACTTCGAAAATTTCACAGCTGTTTGTCGGCGCCGATGATGATACGTTATGTTTCATGTCGAATACAGAACAATTCAATTCGTGCTCATTCTTCCAACTGTCCAAAGTTATGAGCACGTGCATGTCAGATAACCCGAACAGTCCAGTAGTTGCAATAAACCGAGTCTCGTCGGGGGGCAAGAAATCAAGTAATCAGCAGTCTTACCTAAGCGGAGATGGTTCTTTGATTTACACGATCGGTCAAAAGAGAATCATTTGTGAAGCCACCGATACTCTAAACCCTGTTCAAATTTACAGTCTCAGTGAGCCAGTTGTAAAAAGTTGCTTCGTAGATGAAGTTTTCAGTGCTTTATTCGTGTTTTTCGAAAATAAAACTTTTGTGGTTCTCAAGTGTCCGTCATTCGAGACAGTTTTGGAGTCAACATGTAGTTCAAACCCAATTTACTCGTTTTTCCGAGAACATCTTTTGGTTCTGATTTTCGAAGATATCATAGAAATTTGGGACTGCAACATTCAGAAAAAAGTGTTGATCAATATCGGCATCGGGTTAGCAGTGAATGATGCTTATATAGAAGACGATAAATTGTACATTCTATTGTCAAACGCGAGCGTCAAGGTTATTAACTTACAAGACATGACTTGGGACGTTTTGGACCCAGTGTCTTTGCAGCCGAATACTTTCATTGTCAAATCATCTAGTCTTAACGATTGCTATGCTGCACAACTTATAAATAACCAGTTGAGGATTATACCTGTATTTTCTCAGAATAGATTATGCTCAACAGTTCCGGTGATTGACTCAAAGCGATATGTCTTCCTTCATTTTCAAGCTCTGCCTTCAAATAAGTTTGCGATGTTACTAAACGATACTTCTAAATTTCAACTTGTAGTTAGAATTTTGTTTCTGAATGAGAAAGAAGCAGTGATGCTAGAAGTCTCGTCTGATTACATATCATATGAAAGTTTTCTCGAAGAAAGAGAATTTATAAGCAACGCGATGTCGTTCAATTGTTCTTTCGACGCAAAAAGTCTGATGTGCTTATCGAACCGGAACGAAATTTGCATCTATTCCCAAAACGAAACTCGAAAAAAGTGGACAAATTTATCAAAATTGTTGGGATCAAAGTTCTGTTTTTCACAAGCTCTTTTTGTGTCAAATTCTACAATGTTTGCATCGGGAAATGACGCGAGCTTTTATCTTTATGATGTAAACTCAACAAAAGTTAGTTCACGAGTTACGTTACCCGATGCAGGGCCCCTCTGTATGACAGAAGTGTACAGTAGCAATAATGGGTTCACATTGGTAATTACGAGCGATGTGAATGGGCTATTCATGTTCTGGCGTCTGAACGAGAATTGGTATCGTGTATATCTATCTATATTAGCCAAAAGCAAAGTGTAAGAAGCCGCCGTGCAAGTAGCACAGAATGTTCCGACCACGATATTTAGAACAAAAAATAAAATAAAAACATTGAACATCTATTTTTTCAAAAAAGATCAATTTTCTTTTTTTCTTTTTGTGTCATTTTTTGCTAGTATTGCTGAATTGAAGCGAGTATTGCTGGGGGTTGAAACAGAAAGGTTGAAGACATTAACCGCCTTAATTGAGGCCACTTTTTTCGAGGGGTCTTATTGGTAGTTTTTAGTGGTAGTAGTATTGTATCGTGTCCCGGATCCTAAGGGGGGGGGGGGTCCTTCCTAAGGGGGGGGTCCTCACGTAAAGCAAAATCCTAGGAAAGGGGTCCTTAATTTTTTGGAGGACCCTCATCCTAGGATTTTGTAAACGAAAGAGATTTTCCACCCAAAAAGCAGAAGACCCCCTACTTAGGATCTTGCTAAGTTTAGCTTAACAACAAGGGACACGATACAAAAATCTTTCTAATTCCAAATTTTGGGGTCCTAATTATTGGTCCTGATTAATTATATGAATCATATTAATTGTTATGCTTGTTTAGGGTAAATGAACTTTCGACCTAGTTGAAATTTGTTAGTGAACGGGGAATTGACTTTTATGGTATATAATAAAAATTCGCCGGCCATTTTGGCAGCGTAGCTTAACTGTTGGCAGCAGTAAACTAATTCCTTAACTTGACCTAAATTTTATGGTGAAAAGGCAGTAAATTGAAATTACTCTCAAAAGGCGGCGGCCGTTTCTGGGCAAAATATACCAAATGATAAAATTGTCAAATTTTGAAATAAGAAAAATGAAATTAGAGGGAACTTGGTGTACTGAAGATATTGATAATGAACATTTACAATTAAGAGTGTTTTCAACCGCAGAAAAAAACTCATTTTTCAAATTATGTAATGAACGCTACGTCGTCTTCCTCGAAAGGGCAAAGGAAATTTCAAAGAAAGAATACGAGTTGATTTTCAAAGAACAATTTTATTTGAGTGAGCTTCAACAAATCTCTTGGTGCATTTCTACAAAACAAAAGTATGGCACTGTGAGCGATTTGAATATTGCTGATTATGAAAACGTTTTCGACTATTCGTTTGACTTTAACTCATTATGGGTTGATAAAGACTTGGAGAGAAAAATCCGTCTATGTTTCAACAAGCTATCAAAATACAAAAAACTTCCGGTGGTTTATTTAATTATTTACCACCGTTATCTTAATGAGTCTAAATGGTATTTGCAAGGTCACTTTTATTTCCACTGGCTTGAAATTCAGCAGGTTGGAGAGGTGTTGGAAAAAATAAATAATGAAATTGCAAAAAAGCAGAGTAACTCCTATTGATTTGAAAATAATTCACGAAATTTATACGTCTTTGAAACAAACTTATCCTGATAATTCTAACCGACGCAACTATTTTCTAGCTGCATGTTCTCTGTTTTTTGTTAGTTCTGATAACCTTAACTACGACATTTTAATTAAGTTGAGACCTTATGGTGGCTTGATTGGTATTGATAACTCTTCCTTGGACAAATATTTGAAAAATTCCAAAATTTTACGATTGCACGCTATTTTGCACGATGCGGCCGGATTTATACACGAATTTTATCAACAGGGTCCCACGTACTGTTACATGTTGCCCTGGAACTGTAACAACAGCTTATTGGGACATTTGAGTGGAATAGCGTTCTGCCTTTTCATTAAGTTGAAAAAACCAGAAGTTTATCATTTACTAGAATGCTAGGCGAGAGATCAGTTGTGCTTGACGTGGAAGGCTTTCGTTACAAGAAAAACGCCTTTGTGGTTAAAGAATTAGCAATAACAACTTCAGACTACAGCGATCGACTCATTTTCCTACCTCCAGTGAATTTCAATATACTACCAAAGCTTGAACAAAAAGCTTACAACTGGTTAACTAATTATTTACACGGTCTCCATTGGGAAAACGGTGATTATCTTTATATAAACTTGAATCAAATACTTCAGAGTTTTGTGCTGAGAAATCCTGGTGCCGTTTTTTACGCTAAAGGAAAAGAAAAGACAGAATTTTTGGCCAAGTACTTGGACCGAAAGATTGAAAACCTAGATGATTTGGGCTGTCCTCGGGTTGAAAACTTATATTTTAAAAATTATCCAAGTTGCAATAAACATATTCCACATTACAACTCCAGGAATCATTGTGCCTTGAAGAAAACCAAGGTTTTTTATGATTGGTTGAAAAATGAACAACAGCGAGAGATCAGCGAAAGTGGAGACATACCTATCACAAAATTCAATGCTTTGTGCGTGGATGACTCCAGAGGGTGATATTAAAATTTCATTAACGAGAATAGAGCGTATTGATTGCAGTGGCCAAATTGTTCAGAGGAAGGAGCAAATAATAATTTCCGAAGAAGAGTTGTCTACGTTGAAGAGGTTTTTTCCAGTTATTGATCAATTTGTATACTTCCAGAGATTCAAGTTTATCAGAAATGTTAGCCAGCAAGCGAGGAGTATGTCTTCCCGAACTAGTCTTAGTACCCAAACGTCAGCCAGGAGTTCAGATGGATCTAAACAGCAGTGAATTGCCAGATGAGATTAAGACGATTGTGAAAGAGGATACTGTGAAGAAAATAATGTACTACAAAAAAAACCGCAAATATCCCAGCAAACTTTGTTTTAGAAATGCATGACATAAATGATAGAGATTTCACACGTTATGAAATTTTTTACTGTTCTCAAAAGTAATTTAATTTTTTACAAGCTTCATTCGCAGAGAGAAAAAGTCTAACGCAGTCTGTAGAATAAATAGTTTCTCAAATGTCAGAAGCAACAACAGCAGTAGATGAACCTGACGCAACATTAGTAACAGAGTTTGTTTATAACGAGACAAACAGTGAAAAAAAATCATGGAAGTTTTGTAACAATGTAACTTTGCCAAGGTCTGAAGTAGTTTTTGTTGCGCAAATGGTAGTAATTCTAATTTTACTAACTTTCTGCATTCTCAAACTTTCTTTCACTAAATTAAGTTGCGAAGAAACGTCAGTTTGGTTCTCGATTTTATCAGGCTTGGCTGGTTACGTACTACCAAACCCAAGAATATGAATAAAGTGATTGATACTTCGACAAGAATTTTTATGGCGATAGTGGGACCTTCAGGATCCGGGAAAACTGAGTTAATTTTGAAACTTCTGATGGGAAATACTTTTTACCCTAAATTTGGAACCGTTCTATATCTTTACAAAGAGATGCAACCTGCATTCTCAGAAAAAGTGTCTTCTCGCGAAGTGAATATGGAGTTCATGAAATTCGACGGATTCGAATCTGTGAGAAAATTAGAAAATGTTCTTCTAGTTTTCGATGATTCATGTGAAGACATCTATAATGACAAGGAATTTGTTAGGTTAGCGACAGCGGGTAGACATAGAGGGATAGATGTAATATATGTTAAGCATAACTTGTTTCAACAAAGTCGATGGTCGCGTACGATTGATTTGAACACTTCACACATCATTCTGTTCAAATCGCCTCGCGACGTTCAGCAACTAGATCTATTAGGAAGACAATTGAATGTATCAAAATTTTTGAGAAACTGTTACGAATTAGCTACCAGAGACTCTTTTGGACATCTTCTAATCGACTTGGACCCCCGTACATCAGATTGTTTGAGATATTGTTCAAATATCACACCACCTGGGCCAACAGTTTTTTATTTACCCTTATCTGAAGCAGAAACTACTCCAATCACAAATGAAAAAGAAAAACTTATCTATTCTGCGGCATATGGTACAACTGAAACCTGACCAGCTAAGAAGATTAATTAGAAAAACTTCAAATCGTGAGATCATAACACTTGTTTGTGAATGTTTGCTCAATGTAGTCAATGGAAACGTACCCGTTAAAATCGCAAACATCGAACGATTCGAGACAGCATACAAATACTTATTAACTCCAAAAACCAGTGTTGTCAAAAAACGTGCGATTATTTTGAGTAAAGAAGGCTTCCATTTAGTTCGACAAATACTTTATTTTTGTTACAAGTACCTCACAACTTAATGATGACTGCTGAAGAATTCATTCTAATTCCGAAACATTTATATGTTAAAGAGCAGCCACATGCTGCACGTGTTCTTCATGATAATAATATTAAACATAAAAATGCTCAACTGTCCTATCTTAACCGGCTTAGACCCCAATTACCTCCACAAACTAGTAAGACTACTGCAACGAAGGAAACATTTACGGATAATGTTGAGCCCCAACAAGAACAGCTTAAACTGTTAACGGACGATGAAGAAGTACCGGTCGAACGTGTTAAAGACGAAAAACTAGAAGAGAAACACAATAGACAGACCGAAAGCATTTTAGGACAGTTACAAGTTTTAGAAGACAAAAAATTTGTTAGAGCAAAAACCGTACTTGAAATTATAGAAAATTCAGAAAGAGTAACCATAAACCATGACAATGAGGTGATATATGTAGATAAAGTACCAACAGGACTTAAAGCTACAATATTTTTATACGACATACAACAACCAACGAAAAAACTACACAATCCGGCGTTCATTAACATTTTAACTGCTCTCAACTTGAATGAAAACCTGGTAATAAATCGAAATGCCAAACACGCGGTTCAGTCAGCGTCTTTTAACGCTCAAGAGAAACGAGAACCCGGACCCTCAAGAACCCGCTCAACATCGCCCACTTGGCAGGAAAAAAGTAGTGCAAACCTTAAGAGAAGTAAAAAACACAAACGAAAAAGTCTCAGCGGTAATAGAAAAACCCAAAACCAAAAACGTGAAAAAGAGTCAGAAGAAGGCTCTGACTCTTACGGAACGCCCCATAACGATTCAGATTCTCCAACGTCAGAAAAGACGAAGGCGCAAACAAAACAATGGGAAAATTACCAAGATTGAAGAAAAATTGTTGAAAACTAAATACAGTGACAAAGGTCCCGCGTTATTTGGTAGTGTGAACAACTTG